AAGGAAGGGAAAGAAGGGAAAGAAGGGAAGGAAGGAAGGGAAGGAAGGGAAGGAAGGGAAGGAAGGAAGGGAAGGAAGGAAGGAAGGAAGGGAGGGAGGGAGGGAGGGAATGTGTAAGTGGATAACTGTGGCTGTGTTCCATTAAAACTTTATTTATGAACTGAAATTTAAATCTCGTAATTTTCACATCACAAAATACTCCTTTAATTTTTTTCCAACTATTTACAAAGTAAAAAGCATTCTTAGCTTGCAGACCATACAGAAGTAGGTACCAGGTTAGAATTAGGCCCTGCTGGCTCTATTTGTGGACCCTTGGCCGAGGATGTGGTCAGTTTTTAAAAAGTATTCTGTACATGCTTAAAATGAATGTGTTTTCTGAAATTGTTGGGTAGAGTTATTTATATGTTTCCATTACAATGAGTTTGTTAGTTGTCTTCTTCAAATCCTCTATATTCTTGCTGTTTTCTAGAAAATATTTCCTTGGAAATACAATGTTAATAATGAAAAGGGCACAAATTATAAGTTTATGCCATGATGGATGTTTTCAAAGTGAACACACTTGTGTAATCCCACCCCAGATCAAAATAGAGGATATTGCCAGCCCTCAGAATTTTCCCTCATGCTCCATCCCTATCACTAATACAATGAAGAAGTGGCTGCTAACCTGACTTCTGGGCCTGTTGATTCATTTTACTTGGTTTTGAACTTTCTAGGAGTGAAATTATGTAGTAGGAACTTTTTAGTGTCTGTTTCTTTCACTCATCATTATATTTGGATTATTTTCATGATGTTACATGTAGTTGTGGTTTTTTCATTTTCCTTACTGTGGAATATTCTGTTAGGTGACACAGACTTAATTTATACTCCTCTGGATGGACCTTGTGGCTGTGTTCTGTTTGGTGAATAAGTATGACTTGCCTTTTCCGTTTTGTGATGGGCAGAGTTGTAGAAAATTCTATAAAGTCCAATTTATTTTCTTTCTTACCCTAAAAAATTCTTGCTTATCCTAAGGTCATGAATATTTTCTCATATTTTTTTTCTAGAAGCTTTATGGTTTTAGCTTTAACATTTCAGTCTGTAATCCTCTCAGTTTTTGTGTCTGATATGCGATGAAGGTCAAGGTTCACTTTTCCATATGGCTCTCCAGTTGTTTCAGTGTCTTTATTGAAACAGACTTTTTTCTTCCATCAAATTGATATGCTGCCTTTATTGTAAATCAATTACCATGTAGGTGTGGCTCTCTTCTTGGATTCTATATTTTGTTTTATTGAAATATTTTTTTATCCTGGTCCACTATAGTGATTTCTTAATTATTATATTTTTATAGTGTGCCTTGAATTCAGGTAATGTCAGTCTTAATATCGTCTTGGCTAATCTATTTCTTTTCATTTTCCCATGAACTTAGAAGCATTTGATACATGTGTATTTTTTAAAAAGCTTGCCAGAATTATGTTTGGATTTTGTTGAATCAATAGTTCAATTTTAGAAGAATTGACATCTTAACAATATTGAAACTTCCAGTCCATGAACATTGTACATCTTCCCATTTATTTAGCTTGTCTTTAATTTATCATCGCTGTTTGGTAGTTTTCAGTATAAATGTCTTGCACATTCTTTTGTGAAATTTATTCTTTTTTGATGCAATTATAAAAAAAATTTTTTGCATGTCTTTTCCCAATTGTAGTTGCTAAGTTTCAGAAATATAACTGATTTGAGGAGTATATTGTTTTCTGAGACTTACCAAAATTCACTCTCTAGTTACAGTTAAATTTCTTTGGACTTTTCATGTACGTAATCATGCTATCTGTGAATAAAAACAGTTTTACTTCTTTGGGAGGCTGAGGTGGATGGATCATGAGGTCAAGAGATCGAGACCATCCTGGCCAACATGGTGAAACCCCGTCTCTACTAAAAAAAATACAAAAATCAGCTGGGCGTGGTGGCATGTGCCTGTAGTCCCAGCTACTCGGGAGGCTGAGGCAGGAGAATTGCTTGAACCCAGGAGGCAGAGGTTGCAGTGAGCCAAGATTGTGCCACTGCACTCCAGCCTGGCGCTCTGGCGACAGAACAAGACTGTCTCAAACAACAACAACAACAACAACAAAACAGTTTTACTTCTTTCTAACCTTTATGTTTTCTTCTCCCTTACCCTTCTTCTTTCTTTCTCTTAATTTTCTTTATTGTAATGACTAGGATCTTCAAAAATGTTGAGTAGAAGAGGTGAAGATATACATCCTTGCCTTTTCAAATCCCTTTTGGAAACCACTTGATCTTTCATCATTAACTGTGATGCCTTTTTACCCCCTTTAAGCTCTCATTAAATTGAGGCAGTTCCCTTCTATTCTGGTTTGCTGAGAGGTTTTGTTCTGTTTTGTTTTTCTAAGTATGAATTAGAGTTAAATTTTATTTAATGCTTGTTCTGTATCTGTTAAAGTCATACTGCTTTTATTCTGTATTTTGTCAGTGTGGATTTTTGCACATTGCAAAAATAAATTGCATTGGTGGATTTATGAATGTTAAATGAGCTTTGAGTTCCAATGGAAAATTCTGCTTGATCAAAATATATTGTCCTTTTTTTAATCTTGCTGGATTTAATTTACTAAAGATTTATAAAGAATTTTTGCATCTTTGCTGAGAGATACTAGTCCATAGTTTTCTTCTGTCAGCTCTTTATGGGCAGAGACAGTCTCTCATTCATTATTGTATCCCAAGTCCTTTCACCAATGCCAACCACAGAAAAGGTGCTTTACAAATAAACAGCTTAGGAGAGAAATCAAAAGACCTAGGATGGAGACCCACATTCATTAATTTAAATTATTTAAAATATTAATGAATATAACTCATTTAGCAGGTATTTGCCTTCCAATTATGTGTCAGATACAGATACTCAGAAGGGGTTTTCTTCCTCCATCTCCAGCCACTCCTTCTTTTCTAATTGTGTCTCATGTCTCTAACCTCTAAACATTGGAAAGCCAAAAGATACAGTCCTTTAGTCCCTTTTCTTGATCTTTTGTGGGTGTTACCTGATCTCATGGCTAGAAACACCGTCTCTAAATGAACAGCTCCAACTTAGGCCTTTCCCCTGACTCTAGCGTGGTATGTCCACTCCTCCTCATCCAGTGATACATCGTCCCTGGATACCCAATAGGTTTCTCTAATTTAAACATGGCTGAAGTTGAGCTAATGACCCTCCCTCTCAGTCTTGATTTCAGGAAAACATAGCCCCAGCCTTCCAATGGCCAGGCCAGAAACTGTGGCATCACCCTTGACATCTATTTGTGTCTCCTACCTTATTAACCATCCTCAACAAATCCTGTCAACTCTACCTTCAAAGTATATCTAGAACCTTTCTCCACTTCTGCTGCCATTCTGATCCAAGCCATTACCATCTCTTGCCCAGGTTATTCAGTAGTCCCCAGCTGGTCTCCGTCATTCCCCTTTGCAATTTTCCCAGCACAGGTGCCAAAACAATTAAAGTGGTATACCTTTAAAATGTAGGTTAGATCACATCCTCTGCTTTCATAAACGCTCAGGAGGCTTTGATCTTACGCAGAATGGAAATCCAGAATTCTTAAAACTTCCTATAAAGCCTCTCGTGACCTGCTTGACTTTAGCTCTTAATTCTTCCTTTTACTCAGTTGGCCTCAGCCACGGTGACTTCCTTGCTATTGATTAAACATACTAATTCTTCTGCCACCACAAGGCCTGTGCTGTTTCTCTGCCTGGAATGTTCTTCCATCAGATGTCCTCATAGCTCGTGGTTCATTCATCACTTCTTTTAGGTATTTACTAAAATGTCATCCTCTCCTTAAAGCCCTCCCTGGCCATTAGATCCAACTGGAGACCCGTCTCAAAAAGAAAAGTTCTATTGCTCTTCCCTGCATTAGTTTTTACCTTAGCACTTCTCCTGCTTATTATATATTTTATATATTTATACTGTTTATTCTTTGAAATCTCCAACAAATTCTAAGCTCAGTGAAATCAGGGATTTTTGTACTATTCACTGTTGTTTCCTCAGTGAGTAGAACAGTGTCCGTCACATAATAAATATTTTCTGAATACATGCATAAGCAAGTAATAAGTGAATGAATATAAGAGTTACATGATCCCATGGAGCTTATATAAGAGTTGTGATCTCATGGAGTACTATTTCCATATTAGTGAATAAAATTAAAGAAATTCTAATGGGGGAAAAAGGAAAGAGAAAAAATAAATCCAAAAAGGTAAGTACGAAAACTTGCGAGTTTTCCACATAACAGAAATGGGTTCAGCTATGAAAAGCCAGTCTCTTAAAAACATAGAAGCCAGGTGTGGTGGCGCAACTGTAATACCAGCTACTCAGGAGACTGTGGAAGGAGGATACTTGAGCCCAGAAGTTCAGGCTGCAATAGGCTATGATCATGCCACTGCACTCCAGGTTGGGCGACAGAAGGAGACCCTATCTCAAAAAAAAAAAAAAAAAAAGTAGAAGGAAATGAAGGTAATGCAATATCTTGGAAGCAGAGGGGGTAAAAGGTAAAAGAAGAATTAGGACTGTGTAGGACTTTGTAGTTGTTGACGGGGATAGTCAGCATCTCCTTTAAGAGTTAATATATATCAGGACCCGTAGCTGCAACATTACCAATTCCATAACTAGTTTCAGAGGGATGCAAGTCTAGTGTTGTGCAGTGAAGCATGTCTGTGTACCATGCATAATTCACATGATGTAGGTACTTACGAGCAATGCCATTTCTGTAAATGACAAGGGAATAAACAAATAACCTAGTAAAATTTTGTCATTGGAAGTTTTGCTGGAGAATCCCTTGTAGAGGAGGATTGTGAAGCAGTCCTGCTTCACTCGATTTGAAAGCCCTGGACCTGCATCGTGTTAAGGTCAGCGTCTGCTCTGTGGGTGACAGCTTACATGCTTATTGCAGCTCTGACATCAGTCAGCTATTCTCCTATCTTTGATTTGACTGTTACCAGTTTTTAAATTTTGTTTTTTCATTTCAAATCAACAGGTTCCCTTTTTTGGGCCTCTGTTTGATGGAGCCATAGTGAGTGGGAAGCTGCTGCCGAGTCTTGTATGTGCCACGTGCATCAACGCCAGCAGGGCTGTGAAGTGCCTCATCCCACTCTACCAGAGCTTGTATCTTTTTGCTTTAAATATGTAACTTACTAACCATCCCAGAATCAAGATTCCTGGCAGTTTTTCATAAGAGGTAAGTATTCAAAACTTAATTGAAGAGGGAAGATAATCTTTTAACCTCTGTTAAAAATAACATAGTATGATTTTTCATAGCATTTGTTAATTTATACTAAATATAATTTTGTGCTGCATTCAACTTAGAGTTTACTTTCATAATTTACTTACATACATTGGTGTCTGAGAAGCTGTGACCATTATGAGATGCTCATATCTCCTTAGGTGTTTTGCCCCACGTTGCAGTCTCATCCTGTATCCCTCTTATTTGTGGCAGCCCATTGTGTTTAAGGTGGGATGCTGAGCAAAACATAACACTCATTCAGAGTGCCTACCAGAAACCAAAGCAAATGAAGTGACCCTCATAAGTCACCACCTGAGCAGTACAGGTGGGTTTCTGGAAGATCAGAGGAGACAGAAATTGCATCTGGTTGGGAGGGGAAGGAAAAGTATCCTGAATTAAGTTGCATTTGGACTTATCAATAGGAATAGCTAGAAATTATTTTGTAATTTTCCCAAATCATTGATATTTTCTTCTCTAGTTCCTGATTTTGTTTCCAAAAAGAGGATAAATTTCACTCTTATAATTTTTTTCCTCAAACATTAATTGGTCTGCTGTAATCCTTAAATTCAAGCATGATCTCAGGCTATAAGAAAAAGAGATTAAGATGGATGACCTCATAAAATTAATGCAAAAAATAATCTGACCCCCTAATAAAACTTAGAATCTCTTTGTTTCTAATTGGTATTGATAATAATTTGAAACGTATTGTGTTTGACCTCTATATAAACTTCTCCCAACCTAATAGTAAGTGATGTGTTGCTAGCGGGTGAGAGTTGGGGGTAGATGAAAACTATCCCATGTGAATAGATACAGTTCATGAAAAAATACCTTTCATTAAAGTCCTGGTCACTTCATTGACTGATATTCTGCCTTTAGATTAAAAAAAAAAATACATATGCCATGTGGCAACTTAGAATTATCATAGAAATGAGTAGTAGAAAGGAGCTATTAGGTCCCATCTGGTCCCTCCCCCGAGGGCCAGGGCAGCATTATTCCCTTCAGTGTACTCTCTCGTGCTTTGTCCAGGCTGGTGGTGAGTGTTTTGGAGATGGCATTCTTTGCAGTGATTTCCACAACACTTTAGACGTAATCTTACGGCTGGTGTCAATTTGGCCTTCAGCATGGAGTTTTTATTTACATGCCGTTAAAAAGGGCCTCTTGGCAGAAATGAGAAAGACCCATTCAGCAATTGGTTTGTCAGTTTGCACATCAACTAGGACGAGCTGGGCACTCATCAGTCAAGTATGTTGGACCAAGGTAGCAAAAAAAAAAATTTTATTTTACAAATAAGAAAATTCCATTTTATATTAATTCCATTGTGACTTTTGTTGTGTTACCTTCTCTACTTATTGAACTTCTCATTGTAAAATACTTGCTTTGTTATTTGATTTAACACTGCTTTCTCAAATAAGAATTAATGTGATACAATTGGCATAATCGGGTATAGGAAAAAGGGTGTTTTTAGAAGTTCAAAGTATACTATTCAGCATCACTTTAAAAACCTTTCAAGCAGTGACACATCGGGACTAATGTGGATACCAGCTAGGACTACCGATGCTAGTGTGTGTTAGTAAATGTATTTTGACTCATAAAATAGCTAACTTGACATCTCAAAGGACAATATAGTACTGAAATTGGGAAAAGGTAAAAAACTATTATGTTGATCATTATAAATATTTTAAACATTTTTTTGTCTTGTACCTGGAGAAAATTTAATTGGTGTTATTCAAATACATTGTTTAAAGCAAATCAACTGTTACACGTAATTTTTTATAGAGATGTTATTAGTGGGGAAAACTTTGCAATCATTTAACTACTCTATTCTTTTAATTTCTGTCTGAGTAGTTAGTGGGGAAAACTCTGCAATCATTTAACTACTCTGTTAATTTCTGTCTGCAGAAGGGCTAATATTCAGACCAGAAATGAGGGATATAATAAGAGAAAACAAAATGGAAAAAATAAGGAAAAGGGGAGGGTTTTTCTGATTTTTATTGTTTAAAAATTACTAATTTTAAGAACTATAGGCCAGGCACTGTGGCTAATGCCTGTAATCTCAACACTTTGGGATGCCAAGGTGGGCTGATCCCTTGAGGTCAGGAGTTCGAGAGCAGCCTAGCTAACTAACATAGCAAAACGCTGTCTCTAGTAAAAATACAAAAAAAAATTAGCCAGGCGTGATGGCGCACGCCTGTAGTCCCAACTACTTGGGAGGCTGAGGCAGGAAAATGGTTTGAATTCAGAAGGCAGAGGCTATAGTGAGCCAAAATTGCACAACTGCACTCCAGCCTGGGAGGAAACAGAGCAAGACTGTGTCTCAAAACAAAAACAAAAACAGAAAAACAAAAAACACAACCATATCTACCTAAGCTATTAATTATCATTTCCTTTATGTTTTGTTAGATCCAAGTCCATATATGGTTTGGCAAAAGTCTGAGTTCCATAGAAAATGTCATACCTGATGTCTGGAATTTGCTGCTTTATTGAGATAAGTCTTAGATTTGAATTTTGAAAACCACTGAATAACCTAACAAATTCTAATTATGGGTGTCTTGTTACATTTATTCATTTTCGAAACAACTACTGTGGACTCACTATTGCCAAGTCCAGTGCTAAGAGCTGAGGCTACAGCAGGGAGAAGGGTAACCAGGTTTGTACTCACATGCTTCACACAGAAAACCCATACATAGATTAAAAACATGTATGAATTGAGAGAAGTTCTGTAAAGAAATTATTAATTAATTGAGAGTTGGGGTAAAGAAGGGTCAGGGCACAGAAAGACTTATGAGGAGAGAGCATTTGGGCTGAAATTGGAGGGATGAAAGAGAAGCGGTCCTCAGAGAGCAGGGATGGCATTCCACGCAGAGGGTACAAGGACTCAGATTGCTCACGAGTGATAAACTTGCATTTTTCCAGAATTGTATGCATGTTCAAGTCCATCAGGTGCCTGTGATGGACCCAAGAGCCAGATTCCAGAAGAGATGGTGTTCTGGTTGATCCCCTGAGGAAGCTGTACTTCCCTAACTCTTTCTGCTCATGCCCACCTTGGAAGTTCTCATCTGAGCACGGCAGCCCAGAGTAAACCCCCACAGCTGCCTGATGTCAGGTGCAGTAAGTGGGGAGCAAATGTAGGGCCCACCACCCCAAGCCTGTGCAAGCCCCGCAAGGGCTGAGGAGATCAGCAGTACCTTGAGCACACCTAGAACTAGGGCTGGCTATATAACCCATGGGTCCCAGTACAAAATGAAAATGTAGGGTTCCTTTTTCAAAAAACAGGAAAGAATGCCTTTAAAGGTCCTAAAATACTAAGGTTTTCCCTTTTGTCTGCAATCTCTCAACTTGTCATGGTATTCTTTATTTGCTATGTAGTGTTGTTCTAAATAAAGAAATGTTAAAAATTTAAATTATTCGCAGTATCTTTTTTTTTTTCTTTTGAGACAGAGTCTTGCTCTGTTGCCCATGCTGGAGTGCAGTGGTATGATCGCAGCTCACTGCAACCTCCACCTCCTGGGTTCAAGCTATTCTCCTGCCTCATCCTCCCAGGTAGCTGGGATCGCAGGTATACGCCATCACACCTGCTATTTTTTTGTATTTTTGGTAGAGATGGGGTTTCACCATGTTAGCCAGGCTGGTCTCAAACTCCTAGCCTCAAGTGATCCGCCTACCTCAGCCTCCCAAAGTGCTGGGATTATAAGTGCAAGCCACTGCACCCAGCCCCTAAATTTTTAGCATATCTTATCACTCATCTCCCACCCAAGTACTAGCTGGGGCCAACCCTACTTAGCTTCTGAGGTCAGACAAGATCAAGCGCATTTGGGGTGATATGTTTGCAGACATACCATTTTTCTTTATATTGTGCAATGCCAGTTTAATGTGTAAATATGAGTACTTAGCTTATATATGGAATCAACAAAATTATGCAATTCATATTTTATGGCTTATGCATGCGTATATATTTTGTTCTTACCAGAAGAATGGGAACACCACACAAAACCAACTGAGTAGTCACTCTTCATGTGCACATATTCTACCAGCACTCTGTACTGTCAGTTTATTGATTAACAAGAGAGGATTGGCAGGAAAAGAGGCTATGCTTTTTCCTTTCCTCCTGCATCATCATTTCACCATAAGTGGTCACCTAATACAGGAAAATAGCACAACTATGAAAGGATATGATAGGGTTCCTTGGTGTTCATGTTTCTTGGGGCACTACTGCTTTCTTTCTGTGTTTAAAGCAAATTCTGAATCAGAAGGAGAATGTGACTCCTCAGGGGAGTCGGCTTCCATGAATACTCAACATAGAGGGAACACACTTCCCATGTACAAATGTTCAGGTCACATGTGCATAAAGCCCTGCCTGCAGCCTGTCCCAAAACACCCCAGTACAAGGTGGTGTTCTCTATTCCTGGGTGTTTATTAGAGTTGATTCCCTTCTTAAAGCCTGGCAGCATATCCCTTGGCGAAATTGTATTGGCATATGAACCAGGATCTGTTACTAAATGAAGCAGCTTGTGGGAACAGCCCTAGAATAAAAGTTTATTTACAAGACAAAAAATTCTGAAAAGGAATTACTGTTACCTGTTTCCCTGGGATCTTACGTACAGTGTTGAGTGCCAACAAAGAAAGGACATTTCTTTGTCAACTCAGACTGTTTTATATAGGCAACCCTGTATCCTCACTTTGTTTCTGATATTTAGATTATACTTGTTAAGTAGAAAACATTGCCAAACTGCTCACTGCATCCAAATGTTACTCACTTTCTAGGGATCATAATGACTGTTTTATGAACAAAGGACATGTTTAGTTGAGACCTTGTATAAATCTTTTAGAGAGAAGACATACATAGCGAAACATTGAACCTGATGACAACTAAAGTCACGAGCTA